AACGCTAAAATCCTTTCTTTGCCACGCCCGTGTCAACACCATAAATTGTGATTCAAAATTCCTCAGTTGTGTCTTATAGCCTCCGCTATCTCTTAGACAAGTTACATTAGAAGAAATAACGACTAAAAGCGGAAAAGTGGGAAGAAAAGCAAATTAATTTAAATCGCGGGGTGAAATAGGTATTATGGCTCCAAAAAAAAACAATTCTGACAGAAGCAAGTAGCCAACCTATAAAGTGAGTACAATTCTGGGGGAAAGGGTGTATATTTCGCAATACTTTGCTATTTATTTCGTTTTTAACTAAACAACATAATGATTGAAAATATTATTGTACTTGTTTCACAGAGTGCAATGCTTTGAAATATTTAATTGAAGGCGAGAAAAAAGTGTTGTGATTCAACTTCAATCTGTGTGCAATGTTAAAAGTATCTTCCATTGTACATTCAAAACATCAGCAATTTATGAGCGCAGTAAGGTGGGACCTTCTAAAGAAAGAAAATATTTATTACCCATCATGCATTATTCTCAAAACATTTGCATGAAATAAATTGAGAAAACGTTGCTGTACATGTTGCATTCAAGCACAAAATTACGCAATAACTACTCTTTTTCTCCAAAACTTGACCATTATTAAAGGTCTTGATTTTTTTCTTCTGATGATTGACAAATAGATTTTTTGTGAATACAGAACAAACGTCACATGGCAGAATACTTTTTCACCGTATAGTTTCTGTTGTCTTACATGAAATCATTCCAGAAAACGGTGCTGTTAAGTCATGTAATTATATAGTGAATCCTGAATCGCACAATTTCTACATTTTCACTTTCTCGCATACTCCTAACGTAGTATAGAGGAAGTCGTGTAACGCTGCAACGAAAACGACGATTTTTCGGCAGAAAATGTATTAAAAGTCCCTGATGCTGAAAAAAGTGGATAATTTTTGTTTCTATTGTAAATTACTTCCTCTAGAATGTTGGGAACACAGAATCCACGTTTTGTGGGTTCTTGATAAGGAAAAATGTATTTACGGCAAAATAGGAGTTGAAATCTCAGACGATCCATGTGGAAATTGCAGTGGGCAATGCGAGTTCGCGAAAGATTTCCTCGGTCTACTCCTATTTTCCCCTGCCTCCCAGTCCGCCATTACTTAATCTTTCAAATCTTATCATTCTGCTCAGGTATGGCTGAACAGGCTAGGGACTGTGCAAGTTGTAGCCGGTCCCCTTAGAGCAGGAGGTGGTTGTGGCAGCCGTCGTCTACGCTGACGAGGCTGTAGGTTCGAATCCTGCGTACGCATGCACGTATTTGTGATTGCCCCCTTCATCTCTCATTATCATCCTATCACCTCAGAGTTCATAATTCAGGGCTTGTCTAGACAATGGATACAGCCGAAAAGGCTGTTCCTCAAAGCGAGTAAAGTCACGTTGACCCCTCCGGGATAAACATGACAGCGGCCTTCGGAGGAACAGGCCGATGCGTGGACCCGAGATGCGCCGAGATCACAATAAAAGTATAAAAAAGAAGGAAAAGAAAAAGACCGAGGAAGGAGGATAAAAACCGAAAAAGTTGTGGCACTCGCGCCCTTGCTTGGAGCACCTTGCACGCCGTCGGTACCAGCGGAAGCAGCGAGGCCGCTAGGCACTGCGGCGGCGGCGCGCGCGGCCGGGTTGACGCCTGGAGAGCGGCAACCCGATGACCTCGTGAGTTTCTTCCTTCATCCCTCCCACTCCCCCTTCCTACCCCACCCCACCCCAGGAGGCAACTCGTAGCGCCGGCTCGGGAGAACAATGACTCTCCAGACGAGAGCAGCGGCGACCTCAGCAAGTGGCACCCCTCGAGAGCGCGGGAGGCTCCGCTCCGCCCCGCTCCGCGTCCGCTCCGCCCCGCGCTCGATCAAAGGGAGTTCGGAGACGTGCCTTGTCGCAGACGCACCGTCGCTCGTCGGCAACTGGCCTGCAGAGCACAGGGCTGACGGTCGGCGATTGTGGGCGTGGAGCGACCCCGCTGGGTAACGCGTCTTCCACCGACGCATTCGGAATTCGATCCCCGTCCCACGCAAATGAAATTAGTGATGGGTGTGCCGGTTCACGACCGCTCTTTTTGCCTTCCTTTATAGGGACAGAGAATTGTAGCGTTCGCTACTATGGAATGCATCATAATGGGCAGGGAAGAGGTGAGAGACGAACGCGAGGGCTACGGTTCAAAGGGATGGTGCAAAATGAGTCGCAAGACCGCGCAGTTGCAACCTGCCTCTCACTTCATCTCTATGCTCATTACACCTCATTTCATCATTACATTTTAGCTCGAAGGTCATGCGTTGGTTGTGTTGAAAATATAACTAGGACTGTTGTGCTGCCTGCTTGGAAATTCGGGCGAGTAAACGTCCGAAAAATATACAGCTGAAGCTTAGACTTAGCTAATACATGATATCATTCTGGTGAAAATTCTGCTCTATCAGCTTATATAAGGAGCTACGGATAAGGGGTAACTCAATGAATTTCTTACACGGTTGTCAGATCTCTTGGAAAGAGATTAATATGCATGAATGATTATAAGATCAACACACTCACCCGCACGAAAAGGTATACACTTAAGTACATTTCGTCCAGTTCATTAACAGAACGGTTTTTCATGCATTTGTATTCCAATTTTCCACTTGTACTCACTGACTGCGATTAGCTCAACGACAACACATACACTAGCCTACTAGCTAGCGGGGCCGAATCCAACCATTAGAGAGTTTTAGCGCCAAGCGTAAGGAGCGCAGCGTATGCAACTCTATTGATCACGTGACTAACGCCTTTATACGGTCGTAATGAACAACGTTCAGAAGAGTTTTAGCAATTGCGACGTTGCGTTATGCATTATAACAAAGGAAGCATTTCAAGAATTGAACAGAGAAATTGCACAATATATCAAAGAGTGTAGGTTAGTGGTGAGACATTTAAAACGCGTTACGAGTCAACAGAATAACAAATACATATTGCGCATGGAGTTTTAGATGTTGTGGCCCTCCGTGATGAGTATGCAATCTGGAGTTTTGCCCGAGCAATGAAAAATATGGCCCGCAACCATATTAAACGGTTTTAGTTGTGGCCCTTGAGGACTTGTAACTTGGGCACCCCTGTTCTGTTATTTACTTTCTCGCACATGTACGCCTGTACGGATTATTACACGTAGTTTAGAGAAAGTTATGTCCTGTTGCGGAAAATCGATTTCGAGATTTCTAAATACACGTTTTGGGGTCTCCTGATACCGAAAAGGTTTTTACTTTCTCGGTACGGAGTAGAGAGAAAATTATGCAAAGCTGCGCGAGAGATGAGATTAGGGGGGGGGGGGGTCCTGCAAGGACAATTTTGTAGACATATTTTTCGTTAATGAAATATCCTTAGGCACACACAATTCTTCAAATTAGGTCGTGTAAAATTTTTCAAAAATTTGAATATTTTGCGCGAAATATAGGCTTTTCTTCTAAGTCAGAACAAAATTTTACTTTAAATTTTCTCGTTGTACCTATCAATGGAACGGTAAAATATGGAATTAAATTCAAATAGATGATTTATATCATTAGACCAAAAATTCAAAAGTTAGAACAAATACAGCCAGGGATCATAAAAAATGTAAATTAATTATTTTTTCAGGGCATTTGTTTGTTTCCTTCCTTCATTTCAAATATTTTCTTTAATTAACAACAAATTTTCCCCGCTATGAAATCAAAATCACAATACATAAATAAACTAACATCTGTTTTTTTCATGTATCCCACTTCAATATGATCAGATGCAAAATTCATAACTCAAAGGAAAAACTGAAAAATAATTCTCAACTTTCTGCATGTCTGAGAAACTCTTCACTCCTAAATAACAATTCCTCTTCCCAGCGTTTACAATGTAAATATAAGAGAATATTATTGATTGTCTTTACTTTTCAATCTCAGACATTTCTTGGCAAAGGGGCAAAGTTTTTACTTTCTTCTACACAAATATTTAGTAGATTCTACCAAACTGGTGGACATAGCGCTACCTCTGCATTGCTTGCCACTTCAACTGCTCCACCCGCCGCCACCATTGTCTCTGTCATTGCAGTTATTTTGTACATTTACTGTCAGTATATTTTTATTGAAATCATGAATAGCTGTGTCATATGAGATGTACAATAATCATATAACCAAAAATTATAATCTCTCATCTTCTTCATAACTTCATCTTATTTAAATTTACAGCACGCACCATTTTATTTGAATTAAAAAATTTGAGACTTTGAAATAATAAGACAGACTTCATTTGAGATCTTCCACAAATTTTATGTTCCTAACATGCCAATGACAATTTGTACTTAAAAACTGCTGTATTTACACCTGCAAAATATTACTATAAATGTATTGCTGTTCAGCAACATAAAAGCTTATGGACAAAATTGAATGAGTGGATGTGACAATTTAATGTTCTAATCAGAAGTGATAATCTAACAATATATTATGTACCCAAGTTAGGTTTCAATAAAGAATTCAGTTTTGTATCCACAGTAAGAACAATCATTTGTCAATTGTCCCAGATTTAGAAAGTCTGGTATCTTCATTGTATCAGAGGAATTTTCTAAGGCAACACTGAATTTGAGAACTTAGATGAAAACAGACTTTTACTATTATTATTATTACTAATTTTAAGCAATCAATAGAACACTGAATATTACATGAACTCTAATTCCATATTTATGGAGAGTTGTCTTGTAACATTAGCACATTTACTGGTTCAAATGAAAAAGAACCTTCATCATTATTACAAGATTAAATCTCAATTATGAATCACAATTTATTTCATTTTTCTATTACCTATGTTAAAGTAATAAAATTAAAATGCACTTTGAATCAAGTATTTCACTGAATCATGAAATACAATATTTTACTTTCATCTACTGTACCCCCACCTTTGAAGTGTTAACAATTTCACCTTGGAAACAAAAAGAAGGAAGCTGGAAATAAATAAGTTGAAAATATGTAGTTCTTTACTGTTTATTGTAGCTAACACAAATTCTATTCTTGAATGTGTTCCATTACCACATGCAACCCTTGTTAATACTGTACATGATGTTTACCCAAGCTTTTGCTAGTGTGAATTGTTTTTATTTTCAGCAGTGAATTATTCAATATTTACAATTCATCTCTACAGCTAAATAAATTATAATAAAAATGTTCTTTTCCTTGGACTATTTGACACCATTTTAGTAGCAATACCAGTGAATTTTAATACTTTATTTCAATCAGTTTGTCACAAGATACCTGAATAAAATTTTCTTTCCTAAAATGACACAATTTGTACACACTTACAAACATTCACCGATGAGTAATAAAGCACTATGGTATCATTTTCTTAAAAAAGTAGTATCAGATGGACTGAAACAGAGGTCCTACATCAACACCATTCTTCAATGGACATGGAATAATTTTATAAAGCAAATTTTAAAAGAGCAGATTAAAGGCCAAATAATTGTTTCTATTAGTGCAAAGGTTTATTGCAAGTCTAAAAACAAGACTACAAGTACATCTACAAAACGTTCAATTACAATTGAATGAAAATATGATTACTAAGCAGCCACCACAGGTAATACATTTTGATGAAAAATGGCATGTAATATTCTGAAAAGAAAATATAATGAATTATTTTAGCAAAGAATATGTATTTCTACACAAATAAATTTTTTTAAAAATTAAAATCCAATTCAATAAAATGTATATGAATAGTTAATTTTTGTATTTAATTTTGATAAAATTCCTACATCAAATGCACCATAGAAACAATCATGCCAATGTTTTTCCTCCCATCTCCGCAGTATTTTGTGAGTTTTGCTTGTACTATTTTACCAATTCCAATTACAAATTCCACTACTTCACAACACACATTCTTTATTATAACACATCTTCCTGTAACAAATTCTATTGATTGTACATATATGATAAAATGTAGGGGCACTTTAAAAGCTGACTAGGAGAAAATACATCGGTGGAAAGCATAAGTAAACCGGTCATGGACAACTGGATTCTGTAATTACTATGCTTAACAAAGGAACAAAGAAAATTGCCTCATTTTAAATATATATTCCATACAACTATAGTCTTAATTCTACATGAACTAGAATGCATTTAGTATAAACCTATTTGATTGATGAAAAATAAATTTCCATATATTGTCAATAGTTATTAGTTTATTATGCTATAAAAGATTGCACAAATAAAACATTTTAAAATCTAAAATCTGAATTATATTTACTAAGAGTTATGGTTCATTGTATTGTATGCTAATATTGTTTTAATGTTATGCTAGTATTGTATTGAGAGACATGATACATTTGGCATAGCAAATTAGTGGCGGGAACGTTTAATGTGGTGGTGCAAACAGTGTATGAAATAAAGTTGTAAGTCATAAAACAGTTTTTAAATGAAATGTCTTGAATGAATAAAAGTGTAACATTAGAAGTTTAAAACTTAGAAAAAATTTATCCACATTACAATTGATTAGAACCAAGAAAAATAATAATTGTTTCTGCAAATTCAGTTGTGTAAATTTTCCTAGAGTTCTATCAGAACATTAAGAATCCACACCACCAAGAATAAAAATTAAATTATTTGTATCTTGGAAATAATTCTGAGACACTAATGGAAAGTATGGAAATTATTTCCAATTTAATTTTTATTCCATTAGAATAAGGTCACGAATGAAGCCAGACAAAATTAAATCTAAAACTTCATACAACCGAAGTATTACAATATTTTTCTAAATGGTGACTTAAAAAGAAATTAAGAGGTGTTCAGTATTTCTGGGTAAACAGCTTATTTTCAATATTTTCAACATTTCCAATAGGGAAATCAAGGGAAAATTTCGAGTCAATGTTTTTCTACAACCCTGTTAACCAATGAGGTGGTTGCACTTACATACATAGTTGGGTTTGTTTCTTCACTAACGAAAACACCAATACAATGTACACCGATTTTACAGTATATTGAAAGAACACTCAAATGTTAATTTTTCCAAACTAAAGATACAGACTGGTAGAGAATAATGCAAGTTGATAACATCACTTACAATGGCAATTAGAAAGAGGGGAACCAAACATGTTAAAAATCACTTGTTCTACACTTATGTAGTTTGGATCTAATTAAAAAGAAAAATTGCAGAATTAATAAGAAACAAATAATTTGTATTCTTACATGAAGTTCACAATAATTTAACTCCTGAATAGCTTATGTGTTAGATTTCATCTGTATAATTTATGAAAATCAGTCATGTCAATAGTGCTTTAGACATTCTTGGATAACTTGATGTTGCAGACAAATCACATGATATAAACATTCACCTAATATATTACCTGATCTACAGAACACAGATATAATTCTCAAGGCATTAAGGTTTTGTGGCCATTAGATAGCATAGATGAAGAGATCAACATTCAATTCTATGAACAAAATGGCAGACTAAGATTGTTATAATAAAAAGTTTTTACAAAATGAAGTAAAACTTAGTCTCTTACATAAGATTAATGAAAATATTTCTGTGCTTCAGAGGAAAGGGGGACTACATCCTTATATTTCCCTTCTTCAAACAGGATATTTTACTTTCAATATAATTGCTCTTTCTGGAAGTACCGATAATTGTATCCAAAGGACATTAATAACAAAGCAATTGAAGCAGTGTCTTGTCATTAAATTATGTAAGAATACAATGACTTTGAATTGCTGTCCTGTAACTAAGGAAAATGTGACTAAGTGCCCTGTTCCTCCAATAAATAGACTGGTACAAAATATCTCATACCCACAATAATATATCTTATTTTCAAAACACCTCATATCTTGTGATTGAAAAAACCTTAATTTGGAAGTTGATAGTAAATTGTGCATACAGAATTCACACTCTTCTAGAAATACAAAAAATAATTAAATATAAATCAAAGGCATTTCTTTCTATACAAACACAACACACTTCAGAAGTTTATTAAAATAGATTGGATATAAAAAAGAAACATAACTTGAAAAATATGAAACTAAATATTCACTTAATGAGATGAAGAGGGAAAACTGCATCCCAAATTAAAATATCAATAACTATTCAATTAATTATAGAGGAGAGGGGTTGTCCATTAATTCTGTAACGCAAAAGAGGGAGCAAAGATGTTTGAGGCAGCATAAAGCAGTATTACATAGTGGTGGGAGGGTATTAGTTAAGTGTTATGTTACCTTGATTTTTTATATATTTATGTACATTTTTCAGCATTTGCTGAAATAATTTTTTTTTTCTTGAATCTTGTACTAAAACATTAAAACTAATTAATCTGTTTTAAAACAAATAAATTTAAGTTATTGGATGTAAATTGTTACAATGGAAATATTTTTTCACAAATTCATTTTACCGAATATGTATAATATCGAATGCGTATTGTATAATCCATTTAATTTGATGGAGTAGACTCGCTCATCCACTCGCAATATCTCGCCGAAGTTTGCACAGCTTGTGTTCAAATTTTGTTACCAATTCCTTCACTCACAACTTGCCCCCAATAATACTGTTAGGTGCAGTCAGCATTACCAACTAATTTCAACCTTAATTATTATTTTTATTGTACTATTATTTATTTTCACTTCTTTCATGGGGGGGGATCAAAATACTCCAAATTTGCGTTACACAATTTATTGACAGCCATCAAGAGAGAACTAGAGCTTCCCCGATAGCATATATTTTCTTGTATTGTTTCCTGCACCAGCCTTCTTGCCATAGGTAATGGTTACAAAATACTATTAATACAGCAATTTGTTTTAATTAACACATCTCAGTCATAATATTTTGTATAACTCATTACAAATTGTAAAACATTAGGTGCAAAATGTAAATATTTTCAAGCTAATACCAACATAAATTTAATTAAAACTTGTGCTTCATACAGCTAAATCATGCCCCAACAGAGACGAAATTCACAGATCTACAATTGCTGTCCTGCAGAGCAGAATGCCATTACTACATTCTAATAGAATAATTTCATTTAACAAAAAATCGTAAGTCTCATTTATCATTAAAAATATAATTTCACAAAAACTACTTCTGCAATGTTAAATTCTTGTAAATTTGTAATTTGTAATTTTTTGCCCAATAAAAGTAATTGAGTCAATTTCAATTAAAGTTATTATAAATTGACACTACCTGAAGTGCTGGTCTTATATATTGACACAGCTTCAAACAAAGCGTGGGAAATTCGAATTTACCATTTTGAATTTTTTTTTCCAATATTCAAAAATACAGAGTGCAACGAAAATGGAAACATCGGCACTTTCTTTATTACATACCGGGTGGAGAGAGAGAGAAAAATATTGGAGCCGTTTCTGAGAAAAAATATTAAATATTTTTAAAATTGCTTATGTTCTATGCTAAATTAAAAACAAATATTTCTTTATGCTATTGGATGTCAACATCTAATACCAAAATTTGGTGCCTTTTTTCTTTGAGAAGAAATGTCCAAACAAAATTAAAACTGCCTTTATTTCATGCAAAATTATGCGATAAAGTGCTCTAATATTCGAAAAATTGTACATGACCTTATTTCAGAAGATATTCTAGAGACTTGGTATTCAGTACCCCCAAAATTAAAATATCAGTTTCAAATTCACGGGGCCGCATCCAGCTCAAAAGGGGAATGTCAATTTTGAAGAAAATGGGCTCAAGATGTTTTGATGTCACACTATTTTCCAGTATCAAGAACCCACAAAAGATGGCTTCTGGCTACACTATGATAGGAGTAATTATTTAAATTACCTCACTATACTGTATAGGCTGTAGCAAGAAAGTAAAAATGGAAATCTAGAGAATTACACAAAAACTCAGAAGACTTAGCAGAACTTATTAGAATGACTAGATTAAAAGTGGAACTAAAAAGTCACAAGATATAGTTACGGTTAAATATTGGTATTGTAGGCATGAGTACACACTGATTATTCAATTTATGCATACTTGATCAGACTGCCGATAGGCTTGGGAGTATCCATTACCCAATTTACTCATTAAGTGTAAGTTAACTTGTAAAAAAATCACAATATAAGAGATTAATACATAGATGGAAGAATTTATAATCTTAGTCTGCCATTCCTTCAAGTATGAACAAAATCTAACCATAACAACAAACATTTCCAACAAATTCACATCCTCAATCACATTACTTATGACATGTTTTATGTGGTTGAATATCGTATGCATACCACTGTCATATCATGCAGAATACTTGTAGATATTTTGAAAAAATATAGCAGCTACATCTCAAGGTACGAACAAAAATCTTTTCATAAACTTACAGAGATATGAAAATATCACGAGAAGAAACTTAAACATAAATCATTATTTTTAATATAAAAATATCTCAAAAATGGCAAATTAGTTGAAGGTGGGCTTAATTTCATTTCTGAAAAAATAAAATCTTATCTTTGCAACCTTTCAAGTTTAAGGCAAGGAGAACATAAAAGGCACAAAAGCCTATTTTACTTCACCAAAGAATTAACAATGTTTAAAAGCAATACCTTATTGACTACTCCCCATAAATGTGAACACAATTTGATAACAAAATCAATTATGTACAGAAAGTAGTGTTGGTACAAAATGATTGTAATTGAACAACAAATGGCAATTCCCTTTCACATTCAAGAGAATAATAAAATACTGAATATACTATGTACAAATAATTGTTTAAAAAAAGTTACACTTATTCAGTTTCACTGAATACTTCTACTTGGATACAGGTCACTACTAGTTGAAACCTTGATATGTTTCACTCACTGGGTTTATATTCAATATAAAATACATCACTACAATAATAGGTACCGTCAGCTAGTTTCATCATGGAGAAAGCTGCTCAAACATTAAAACAGAATTCACAATTCTTATCAGATTCTTTCAGTGATTTACATCTCACTACATCTTCTATACACTACACACAGAATTCTCAATTAACTATATTTCCAAAGCTGCATGAAGATTCAGATAACTACATTTTACACAAAACGTTTCTAAAATCTTTGTGTTTTATAAATCTAATGACAAAGTTATTGCTGCAGGGACAAGACATAAAAAGCACTAATAAAGTATCTGGGCACACAAAATTAACAGCACTGTAGCCTGTTCAAAGTGTTGAATGAATTTGGCCTGAAATCTTAACAGGCAACAAGTGTATTTCACCAACTATTGTCCACCAGTGTCACTTTAAAACAAACAATAATTAAACATGAACCTGCAGTATTATACAGCAAATGGAGCCATAGCTTACATGTTTAGCACCTGACAAAGAAATAAAATGGCAATTGATAATCCTACTCCCCAGGTGCTGGGATAAGAACTTCAAATTTGTCTGGTGACTGAGATGTTTCACCAGGAGCAGGAATAAGAACCGTAAATGGTTTTGTGTCCTGTTGCACAGGTGACTGTGGTTGTGATTGAGTTAGTGTAGATTGTTGAGGTTGTAGCTGTGACTGCTGTAACTGAGATTGTGTTTGGGGCATTTGTGTTTGTTGTAATTGTTGTTGCAACTGTTGTGACTGAAGTTGTGGTTGCTGTTGTAGTTGTGCTTGAGTTTGCAACTGAGGTGTTTGTTGCATCTGAGATTGTGGTAGTTGTGTTTGCTGTTGCTGTGACTGAAGAGGTGACTGAAGAGATTGTGTTTGAGGAGATTGCAGTTGAGTTTGTAAAGGTTGATGTTGTGTTTGCTGAGACTGGAGTTGTTGAACTTGCAATTGTTGCTGTTGTTGCTGCTGAACTTGCAATTGTTGAGCTTGAAGCTGTTGTGGTGACTGCTGTTGTTGCTGTGATTGCTGTTGTGGTGGTGGTGGATTTGATTGTTGTTGTTGTTGTTGTTGTTGCTGCTGCTGCTGCTGCTGCTGTGATTGCTGAGGTTGCGACTGCTGGGTCTGTGGCTGCTGTTGCTGTGACTGTGACTGTTGCTGCTGCTGTTGCTGTTGTTGCTGCTGCTGGGAGTTATTGGCATGATCCATATGTTGCCGTGAGTGTAAGGCAAGATGATTCTTCTGGAAAAATGCTTTCCCACATTTGTCACATACGTGCTGTCGAATGTCACAAGTACCTCCACTGTGGCGTTTGTTGTGCTGAGCTAGTCCATGTCTCTGAGTAAAACACTTGCCACAATCCGAACAAACATATGGTTTTGGTTTGGGCATATTATGTCCCATGGTACCTGTGACTGTTCCAGCATTTGTAGTTATCTGTTTGATGTTATTGACAACTGTGTTCACTGTCTGTGGCTGTGGACACAAAAAGTGTGCAGCTGGTTGTTGCAGAGCAGATGCAAGACCACACAGATCAGCAACAACATTTCTATCCCCTGCGTGCAGGCGATAGTGAAGTGCCAATCCTTCCCGACTGGAGAAACAATTTCCACATTCCCTGGACATAATAAGAACATTACTAGATTGTTGCTAATAGCTACAAAGAAGAAAATATTCAATAAAAACCTCTCATATTCACCAATTCAATAGTTTGTCTCAAAGTACAATAGAAAACTATGAAGGAAAATTAGTAGATATCAAGCATATGAAATGCACTCAAATCAGCAGAAAAGTTAATAAAATAATGCAATTCATGGTAAGAACTAAAATAAGTATTTAAAGAGTCAAATCAAAAATTAAAATTCTGGCCCACCAGTCGCAATGAAATAATGGGAACTAAAAAATTAAAAGTTACGAAAGTTATAAATATTGTAAACAAATTCAATGTTAGAAAATCCAGTAGTGTTTTGATTTCATCAAATAACAATTGATAATGGACTACAAAATAGGTACATATGTAAATGTTAAAAATCGCTGATGTTTAAAAATGCAAAATACCAAACAACAATTAGAATAACAATTTCAACATCTGAGGATTAATATTCAGAGGTGATATTACAGAACGACAAAGAAGCTGCTGTGTAAAAGTGGCAAACATTGAGACATTTTGGAAACACTTATCGACAGTGATGTACCTGGATTAAACATTTACAGAAGATTTATTTTTGAATTTAATTGTTCACACAAAAAGGTTTCATAAAAAGAGTTAATGAAGATCAAAGTTGAAGAAGAGATCAAAAATACTTTCGGATGAAGTAAAGGATGAAAAAGTGTAGTGTAAAATCACAATTAGCCTTAATCACCATCTCTAAAAAAAAGGTAATATGAGTGGAAAAAATAATTATTTTTTTCCATATCTTTAAAAAAATGTAATTAACATTCTATTCAAGAAATTAAACAGTACAGATGTGTGAGAAGAAGATAATATATAACCCAGTACAGAATGTTCAATCATGTACAGAACTGGATATGAATCAGAAGAAAATTGATTCGAATTGATTCTTCTCCATGTCATTGAGATTTCTATTTTTAGTCTAGATTTATTTTAAACAGTCATGCTCAATTAAACATATTTAAACCAAAAGCACATTAATCAGAAACTAAAATTTAGATTCATGTATTTTTATTAAAATGTTCTGTTAATTTTGAACTTTTTACCTCTCAACGTTACAAAAACTACTTTTCCACTTCAGAAATCTTCAATAAATTCCTTTAATATTTTGGCCAATAATAGTGAATAAAAAATTCTTTAATAAATTCTGGCCTCGCCACAGAAGGGAAGAAACAGCTTCCATTAATGATGTAGGAACAAAATGTGTTATAGAGAGTGGAAATAATTTCCAAAAAGAACATATTAGTAAAATTCTTCAATCTAAAATATGGAATCTTATTAAGAGTTTTCGGTTTTAATATGATTAACAACGGTCAAAACTATTTTTAGATTCAATAGTAGAAGTTACATAGCTTAAAGTTTACAAACATTCTTAGCATGGATTTGAAAGTCAAAAATCTGCTAGTCCTTATATTGACAAATACTCTTTTCACACTTAATTGTATTACTTTTGGGGTGGCGGATAATGTGTATTCTTCACAACTTTGCTGTGGTATACTATTAATGGTACATCATCTATAAAATTCTGAATTTTACTTCGAGAAATTAATTTTGTACAATCCAAAATTGTATGCTTTTTAAACACTTGTTATCAAAATAATCACATATCATGTGGTTTAATTTCATTAAATGAAATTATTAGGTTATTGTGAAGAGTGCTACCAAGGACTAAATTAATAACTGAATAAATAGAGGAAATTATACGTGAAGGATTCAGACTTAACGCACACTTTACATAACGAAATATAATATCTTACATATTTTCTTAATGTTTAAATTAGATTGTTAATGTCATCAGCTTAAAAATAAAATGAAAAATTAAAATTTCTCTGAAAATATACTTTATTAGGTTGTCAAAAAATGCATTTCTACAACGTGGTCAAAAGAACGTCTTGATAGTTACTTTATTAAAACTCTTGGAATTTGTACTAATATGAAGATCAATCATTTTACCACAAAAATCGCTACAAATTTGATTCATTTCTAACCGTGCATTGAAAATGCTAGAAAACATTTTGATGAAACTAAACTCATTTGCCAGAACTATTAAAATACCAAGTGGCATTTCCTTGCTAAAAATATACATAATTCAGCATCATTATCATCATCATAAATTCCAAATTAAAACAAATGAAGCAACACGAATTAACTGGAAGAATCAATTTATTACAAATGATAACAAAAGTAATAAAATTGGTATTTCAATTCCCAAGTCAACTTTGTGCTAACTCTAGGAAATGGACAAAAGAAATCCCTAGAAAATGGAGAAAACCAAAAAATCTCAACATACCTGCATACAAATGGTTTGTCACCAGTGTGCATCTTGGCATGCTCAGTAAGATCTGTTTTTCGAGTAAAGGTTTCGCCACAATGTTGACAAACAAATGGACGTTCCTCTCCTGTGTGGAGGCGAGTATGAGCCAGAAGGGTGCGCTTTTGAAGAAACTCCTTTCCACACACTTCACAAGAATGAGGCACACGTCCATGTAAGCGACCATGATTTACTAACTCAAACTTTCGAGCAAAAGTGCTACCACAATCCGGACACACATAAGGCTGTAGACCCCCATGGAATCGTGAGTGAATAACAAGATGGTCTTTCTGTGAAAAAGACTCTCCACATTCTTCACACACATAAGGTCTCTCCCCAGAATGAAACTTTGTATGAGTTACCAAGTGTCGTTTCTGGGGAAATGTCTGTCCACATTCTTGACAAATGAAAGGTCTGTCACGACTATGAACTCTTGCATGTGTCACTAAATGATGTTTTAGAGTAAATGACTTCTTACACTCCATGCATTTGTATGGACGATCACTAGTATGAAGCAGAAGGTGAGTAGACAGACAATGTTTATGGGCAAATGTTTTCCCACACTCAGGACACACATGAGGACGTTCACCAGTATGAACACGAGCATGGGTCACCAAATGATGTTTTAATAAAAATGATTTGCCACATTCTTGACAAGAAAATGGACGTTCCTTGTCTACACGATATTTATGTCCTCCAACATTGGGTAATCTCACTGTGGTAGATTGCTGTTGAACTTCAAGTTTTGGTTGGATGTTATTGTTTGAATTAACAGTCTGCTGAGAGATGTTGGGATCAGTAGTAATAATATTGTTTGACACAGTAGCCTTTTTTAATAAGAACTCTCCGCATTCTTGTGCTGTCAATTGTAATGGGCCACAAGGGGTCATAAAATGCTTGGCAGCACCAACATGCTTGTCAGTTGAGAACATCAAACCATTCCCTGTTCTAAATAATGAATTTGTTTCACAATTGCACCCCTTTTCACATGCTATGTTGAATATATCATGTTTCTTTGTATTAGATGTACTAGGTTGCTGATGGGTGTTGTTCTGTTGTTGCTGTAAACTTTCACTCATCAAAAACATAAAATTGCTATTCATGTTTCTATTTGAATTGTACTTCACTTGCTTATTACTGCAAACTTCTTTTCCAATTACTGTACCATTGGTAGCTTCATTGCCATCTAGTTGAAATTTTATGGTTGTTGTTGTTGTGGTAGCATTAGTACATGGGTTATTACACTGTATATTACACTGAGTAGCAGCACTTAATGCATTCTGAGTGGGGGGAACGGTAGTTGTGGTTGAATACATTTGACAACTAGGACTGTTCTGAACTGCATCACGAAACACTGTGTCTTCCAGCTTGATTCTTTCTACAAGATGCTCAGAAACAACTCTCAAGGAGTCAAAGTGCATGGGTGACGTGCCGGTTCCCCATCCCAGAGGCGACTGATGGCTGAAAAATTACAATGGCATAACATAAATGCATTATTGAACCTAACTAAATTAATATCAATCCTAGTTTTCATTAATCAATAATGACAAAATTTTCGGATAATCTTACGAAGACCGCATGAAGTGACATTTTTTACCTCCAAAAAAATTGTTAAAATTAATCGAGAACTTACCACACACATACTTAAAAGAATCTTGCAAAATGTGACTTGCAATAAAATCATAACATCAAAATTACACCACGGCTAAAATGAAATCAGGCCATTTATAAGAAATCAACAAATCCCTTGTCAAGCAGCCATTTTCATCAAACATTAAGTTGTTGCCAACCTTTCCATTAGCGAAAAAGTCCCTAACAAAGAAAGTATTGCGTACAAATAGATTCCGGTCTATGAATTACTGTTTCTAAACTTCGGCAAGTAGATGAAAAGTCTTTAGTGTTCTTGTGGGCTAAGATAAAAAAAACAAAATTCAAGTAAGAATCTGTTATTTTTCTTAAGATATTCTAGAAGTAGTAATACCAACATTTTTTGAACAAATTGCACTACTTCCACATGACTATGTATTGTTTTCATACACACAAATCGTCGTAGATGTCTCTACATTTATATCCAAATAGTTAAAATAGAATATTTAAATGGCTTACACTGTCTCGCTTAGTACACACAAAGGTTCTTCTTTCACAGAACTAGAGTGTTCTGAATTTACAAACAATGGATCTTCCTGACGACTCGACATGCCATTCTGTAGAAGTTGCTTTCTTCGTACAAAACAATCGCCGTCGGGGGGAGTTTTCAAAAGCGCTGATTTCAATATGTGTATATCGCCGGTCAATTCAGTCGATGATGTTGCAATGTGATCACAACTACTCACTTCTCGACATTCTTCTGTTTGTTGAAATGTTTTCGGCGAGATATTTATTTTATGTTTAGTGAAAGTGTCTGGGCTAACTTCATCTGCATCTGCACTGACACGCGTAGAATTAATAGAAGCGTTTTGTTTACCATCAAACAATTTCAAAACCGACCACTTTCGTGGAGTTAAACCCATTGAGGTCATTGCTTAAAACACATTTTATATTTGGAGGAAATTGTTCACAATAACCTTAAATCACACTAAAAAACGCAAAAAGGAAGTGTTTCCGCAAATGAGGTACAGTCTTCGATTTTGAGGTA